ATGACAACAAAACTAAGTAGAAGACGTTTTCTTATAAAAAGTGTCTTTGCTGGAATAAGAATGTTCGGCTGGCAGACCTCTCAAAGCATTTAAATTTATTATTGGTCCGTCAGCTCGATCCTATATCTGACAAAATTGCACTTGGTCGTAGACTTCGCGTTTTAAAACCAGCCAGGATAAGTAGTACATACAACAATGCCGAATGGAGGGTTTTTGTATTAAGACTCTCTGTTGAATCTAAAGACTGGTCTGCGGGGCTGCGGTTTCTTTAAACCAATTATATCTGCTGATGACGTACTGTTTTATGCATTAAAAGCCCAAATTGAAATTTAAGTTTTGATATCACATGTTTCGATGTCATTCCAGACAAAATGAAGGAGTTCAGGAACCTCAGAAGATCATGATAAATCAGTCAAATTGTCACGATCTGCAAACTTCTGATGGTGAATCCTGTATGTGCAATCAGACGCAGCAGGAGAATCAGCGTTTTGAAGGTGAAAAACATTGCTACGCTCAACAATGACTCAAGATAGGTTCAGTTCAGGCATGGTCAATCGATAAACCGATAATCGGTATCAATCGATAGGAATCGATGAAGAAATAAAGTTGTGAGTTCGATTGATATCGATTTCCGATAGAAATCGATAACGATTGATTTATCGAATGTTATCGATTATTATCGATTGTTACTGGCAACGATTGTTGTCGTTTTACAAGTTAATCATCGACACAATGTGGTCTGTATGGTTTTATTGAGTCATTCAATCATCATAGCATGCAATAGGTTTACAGTTATCAACAAAATACCATAGGAAAAAACATGTAAAAATATTTTAAAACGCCAGAAAACCAAGTGGGATGAACACTCCGCCTTGACTAGATGATGAAGTTGATAATAAAATGCTTAACCTTAAACGCCTTTCTCGTATATTCGTTTAATAGATAGCAACGCCAGTCTTCTGTAATATGTTTAAAATAAATACTCTTTTAGATTATCGACTGTTATCGATAATTATCGATTATCGATTGTTATCGATTTTTGCCAGTCGATAAAAATCGACAATTTTTTTCTGTGAGTTCGATTGTTATCGATTACCGATATCAATCGATAGCAATCGGTGATTGATATCGCTTGATATCGAGTGTATCGATTGATTTCCGATATCGATTTCTATCGATTGACTACGCCTGGGTTCAGTGTTCCAACAATACTTATGAGCCACAAAGAGAGAACAGAGGAATTTGCCTTGCCGACGTAGCAAATAAATATGCTGATCACAACTGTTGACTGTAATCGGAAATTAAATTTCGGTAAATTTAGAGTCTACCCTCCCCCCCCCCCCCCCCCCCCGCCCCCTCAACTTTCATATAGGTGGTTATCGACTCCTGAACTTAAAAAAACTGCTGCCTGGGCCCTGATATTATTCCGGAAGAAATAGAATTTTGCATTGAAAGTGACAGACCCGTTTCTCTAAAACGCCAGATTACTTATTCCATAAGAGAAAATATTTTTTTTCTTACTCGTCAGATTAAAGTATTTCCTAGTGAAGTACAAAAAGAAAAACATTATATGTGGTAGCATTGTCGGTAAAAAAAGAACCAATTGTCAGGAAAACGGCTGCAGAGTTATATTTACATTGTTATCAGGCTAAATAGTTGATTTTTCTTCTCTATTTCCAGTCAGACAATCCAATAAACACACTGGTGACGATTAAAAATAATGGAGTTTGATTCTTGGAACATCCTCTGGAGTATATGTTTTGGGATGGTCGCATTTTTCATAATTGTTGGAAACGCCTTCACCATTTTCATATTTTCCAAACGAAAGCTTCGAAAGCGACCTCACATTCTCTTGATTAATTTGGCAATCGCGGATTTAATGGTTGGTTTGGTATCCATTCCCATCTTCGTGACATTTCACAACAGTTATGTGACACGTTTACTACTTCTTGTATTTGACTGTGCTGACATGCTAGTGGGCCTGGCATCTGTTTTCATAATTGCTGTCATATCGTTGGAGAGGATGCATGCTATTGGGAAGCCACTCCGTCATCGCTTTCTCAGCTCTCGGGCTTACCTTTTAGCGATTGCTACGCCATGGTTCTTAGCTGCATTGGTTTCATCTTCGAGACTTCTTTTGAATTATTCTATCATTGCTCGTCTACATTTTGTTGCTATTGTCATGGTCTCCCTGACTACTCCTCTGCTCATCACAATTTTCTGTTACGGCTTTATTTGGAAAACTCTAAAAGCTCGATTACCCAATCCACATAGAAATACAAACGATGATAAACTTGCCAAGACAATGTTATTGGTTACAGCGGCCTTTATTATCACGTGGTTTCCATTTGAAATATTAGTGCTTGCTGTCCACTTATGCGTCCCATGCCAAAGAATACCTGTGTCATCAGTCTACATTATCAAACTCTTTCATTTTAGCAATTCACTTATCAACATTGTTATTTACCATTTGCGGATCCCGGAATTTAGAGAAAACTTTTGTAATTTCCTTCACATAACATGTTGCAGCTGTACTAAATGCTTTTATCAGACGAATCATCTAGATCCTGGAATCTCTTTTATTTCAATGACAACAATGATAGGCCCGTTTGAATCCTTAGGGAATAATGAAACCGAGCAAGTTACTTCCTTATAAATCTTTAAAATTAGCATGTTGCTATCTACGTGATGATAAAAAAACACGGGACCTGGGGAAACAGAAGTCATTTTTGTGAGAAAAGTAGTCAACATATATATTGAGATAAATATTATCTGCAAATTTGGATGGAAAAAAATACAATATGAATTTTTAGACATAGAAATCTGTTATTGTTTTTTGTGCCTGTGCCACTGTCCAGTGGTTTGTTCTGGTACACGTTATTCATTGTTCGCAGGCGATGAGACGTATTTGTGGTTTGTAGTTGTATTTAGTATAATATTTGTCTTTAAGTGAGACCCATACCCAGGCAGCTACAATTTAATAATCTGCTGAATAAAACTTGGGACGATTCGTTAATATTATATTCAAAAATTCATTAATAATTCATAAACCCATTGACCTATCAAATGGTCGATAATACTTCACGTGCAGTGACTTTATATTAATAAAACCTTCCCTTATTAGCAGCACAGCAACTGACACAACAAATGGTGGGTGAATATTTAATGTTCTTTCAAAATAACATACGCAGTAAATTTACTATTGCACAAATTAAACTTTGTTCTTTTACCAGTTTAATCAGCCAAACGTTTAGTGACTCAGCGGTAATATTGGCTACAGCAGTGTCCAAGCGTTGCACTCAAGACTTGCCAGTTGTGAATAAGCAAGGCTCGAGAACTGGATTTTTGTTTACCTACCACTCGTCCATGGTAGAAACATTTGTTGAAAGACTACTTTTTCACTGCACTTGTTGACTTTGGATCGACTTCCTCTCTTCCTCGGCATTGTTAGGCTTCCGAAAAGCTCTGGAACAAGACGCCTTGTCGTCTTCGGTTAGTGTTGTTCATGGACTGGAAAATTCCTAAACGCGTGTGAGATTTGATTTCCTTGCATGTCTAATTTCATACCTAATATATTTTTCGAATGTTAACTCACATACGCGTCATCGTTATCAACTTTATTGAGACACACTTTTCCAGGAATGTCTATGCAGACAAATCTCGATAAAACACTCCTGCTGGTTTACTAAACATTACATAGTTTGATCCTAATCCGAATTGGTGACCGTTTTATACAGGTAAAAAAGGGAATCTGTAAGCCTAAAGGATGACAGCTTCCGTTACATACAGGTGACTGTCATGTACAGGGCATCTTTACAGTAAATATAAGGCACCACTTCCCAGAATTTGTTTGGTGACCGTAATATTGCAGGGTGACCGCTATATACTGGGCCATTACATATGTACAGGTTTGACTGTACCACTGCGAAAAAGAACAACACGAAGGGCCGTAAATCCTATATTTAAACCGGTTTGCGCCACATATTCGCCATCGTCTCGTTACAAATTTCCAGTGCGGAAACTGCAGCTTAGCAAGTTCAGGCCAAAAAATTGATTGAATCTGCACGCACACAGCCTCGGAGATCAATGATTGCAATTTACTTTGGCATCTATCTTTCCTTTACGATGAGTAGTATGCTGTGTGTTCACGGACTGGGGGTTATACATAATCAACATTTTGAACCAACGCTTTTATCTAGCAACATTTGTCAGATTCTATTTGAGTTCCGCGACCTTCAATACATAAAATATAATATGGAACTACGCTACATTTTCATACTGGCAAAGACCAGAAAGACAACGCTTGAGTCGTAGGCCACGCGCGATTATTCTGGATAACTCGTGAGCTGAGAACGCAAATCTCAGGCATATGTTAAATTGTAATCTCTTATCTAATTACTCTATCGCCAGATGCCGCCTTAATCTTGTTAAAAAATGTAGCGCTTTATCGAATAACTGACCACTGATGGTTGGATCAAACGGTGAAGGAATTTATTTGCTTTTCGCAGTAGTAGGTTTATTGATTGTCAATCAAACCCTAGCGTCCCTAACAACGCCGGCGTCATGTGATGTGCAAAATAAAGTCGTATGCTGGTCCTCATGGAGTAGCTCAACCAAAACTGAGCTGTCTTGCCAAGCGCGCCCTGCCGAGCAGTTTATTTCAATTTATCATAACGGTCTAGGAACTTGTTACAGTTTTCACTTGCTAAACATTCCAAAAGGTTTTCTTTGCACGGGTTCTTCGCTAGATAGTCTAATGTTGTAACTCCTTGCTTATCAAAAAGACAACCATGCAACGACTCTTAGACCTGAAGAAGAATTCGTTCCAAAGCTTCGTAGACAACCTTGTGCACAAAAAGGGCGTGGTTATAATGTTTGCCTGTCAAAACTTGGTCTATCAATCCACTTGCACAGATCCCTGATTCGATGAGGACTTCTTCAAAACCACTACATCTCATTTTCTTTCCAAGGGCACCCATGAATGCCCAGGTAAGATGAAAACTACTCATACGTACAATTACATCACAGAATTCTTCTGAATATTAATCTGAGTTTCAAAGGATTGTGGGATAGGAAAAAAGGTGGACTGTGCCTCATGGGATATTAAATAGAGAAGTACGATATGCGTCTTGAAATAAAATGCACGAAATGATTAACTAGCTTTTTTGTTGCAGCCAATGTACCATAAAAAGCTTGAACAAAAATAATTAAAGACAGTGCTGTGGAATTATTATCGTGCTTTACTTTACAGGACCTTACAAAGCGCTGTTAACGTCTTTTCGGCTTGGAAATATCGCATAAGCAGCAAACTAGGGATTAGTCATCATTTAGTGGCTAATACATTCTCATTGGCCAGTAACTACCAAAATTTCACGTAGGTTAGACATTTCAAAGAGATTTTTTTTATTAGAACTGTCGTAAGAGGTGTTCGTTACCTATCCAAGTAAACGGTAAGTTTTTGGAGCTTAAAAGTAAAGTAAAGTAGAGAATTTTAACTTACATATGAGATTAAAAAAAACTTTACCTTAAATAACTTTGAGTGTTATTTTTGTTGGTAATGGTGTTTCAGAAGAGGTTAACTCACCGTTAACTTACCTCTTGGTGTGGGTAACCTGTGACTCTTTGGTGAGGAAAAGAATGTTGCTGCACAGCCACACCCACCAAGCAATCAAGTGCAAACATGCATTTTCAAATACCCTTGGGTGAAGCTTTGAAATGATACATCAGAGGTAGCCCAAGCTCGAAATATGAGCATCGGCGAGCATGGGCATTGTTTCGTAACATTCAAAATATAAGGATTTGTATGGGAAAAAAACTATCGTTTCTGTAACCTACGAAAATGAAAGGATTTCAATAAAAAACAGCTTACCTTACTTTAAATGTGTGTAACGTTTCTCCTGTGTGGTCCACGGGCCAATTAATGGCCGTTTTATGGGTTTTTATGTCAACGGTTTTCTCTCTATATAAAGGTTTACCTTTAACTAAATCCTTTCATTTTCGTAGGTTACAGAAACGATAGGGTTTTCTTTCCCATACAAATCCTTATATTTTGAACGTTACACAACAATGCCGATGCTCGCCGATGCTCATATTTCGAGCTTGGGCTACCTGTGGATATATGTCTGCAGAAATCCTCGAGGGCGGGGGAGGGTTTCACTTTCTGGCCTATGGACCATTCGGGCTCATTCAGCCATCGCTACATTTGCAATTGTAATGAGGCCCGAAATATTGATCTAAAAGGAGCACAAAAGGCCATTATCAGAGCCAGGGACAAAGTTTGTCAGCGAAAATACAACCTAAATCAACAGAAAGCTACATACCTACCCTTGAAAGTACTTTGAACTGTGTGAATTTTGCGTTTGAAAATCCCCTTGTGACCACTTCTTGCCACTACTGAATCAATGGGACTTGTGAGCTTTTAGACGCAGAGATACCAATCCTCCACTGCCTTGTACCAAATATACGTTTTTTTCAAGATCCGACCGGGCTATAACCTAGTCCGTCCCACGGGAATCTAGTTCGTTTCTTCTTGGACATGGAATTTTACCCCCACTTTTTAATAAGATAGCTAAATCAGTAATTAGCCGCAAATTTTAGCTATTTATTCAACAGGAGAAATTTTGGAATTCGAGAAAAAGCTTCCACGGGGTGAATACTGGAACACCATAAGTGCAGGAGGTAAAATTAAAGGAGGTCCACTGCAATGATAATCATAGAATTATTCTCCAGTCAGAAACCTATTATGCGTATTTTTAGACTTGGTGCATCAAATCAAAGAAACGCTTCCCAAATGATGGTTTAATAGTAATGCAAACTTACAGAATATTGCAAGATATTTGCGGATTTACAGATACAAATGTTTGTTTTCGGTACCTTCCATGTTTTAATTTTAGTTTTTGTTAAGACAAATAATTTGTCTACTCTGAAATAAATGTTGCCTCATTTTGCACCGCCCAGAGCTAAGGTAATGCCAGATTTTCCAGTATTAAAACACCGATGAGTAGCCGAGTCTAGCAAGAGGTCCCAGTGATAATTATAGCATTATTCTCTTGCAAAAAGCTTTTTGGCAAATATTTAGTCTTAATGCGTCGAAACCAAAGAAAGAATTCATATGATGATTAATCGGTGAAAATGTTAACGTACAGAAAAATGTCTGGGATTCGCTGACGCACAGGTATAATTGTTTGGCATCGGTACCTTTTATGTTTATGTTTTGAAATAAACGTTCTTCAAGCTAAAGGCGTTGTCTTGCCTCATTTTGGACAATGACTTTGGTAGGAAAGGTCATGTGCCAAGTTTCGAGAAAAAGCAGCCTATGACTGAAATATTGGAACACCAATAAGTAAGAGCTCCCAATGTTAATTACGATTATGCCTTCGTAAAATTCTTTCATGCACAATGCGCCGAAACCAAAGAAACTTTCTTTGATTTTTCTTAAGACAAATAGTTTTTCTTATCTGAGATAAACCTTCCTCATGTCTTGCCTCATTATAGACTATG